TATTCGATTGTATATCATCCAATCTGTCATCCGCCCTACCTATACGTTCCTCGGGATGCAGCTCGATATTGAATAGAGTTCAGTTGCATGCTGATCAAACGTTTATCATCCGTATGATGAGAGGAATCCCCCTGCTGGGTGAATCCACATCTTCAACTTGTCTAACTCTGTGCTTAGGTTGTGCCGACATGAACGAACAGGAGCTTGCTGATGTTGAGGCGTTTGTCCAACATGTGACGAGGATGAAAATTGAGGTTAGTTGCAAATCGATTACGAGGGCGAGCGCTTTTTACAAAGTTTGCTATTGCTTGCAGACTAAGGTTGAGGTTGTTGATGAGAATGAGATTGTTGAGGGTGACGTTGGAACTCTGGTGATAAAATTGGATCGCGAGAATCTGCAGAAGGGCGAGGCGGCTGGACCAGTGCATGCACCGTATTATCCTAGAGCTAAATTCGAGGAGTGGTGGATTTTCTTGTAAGCATGGGAGAGGTCGTGGGTTCAATTCTGGGAAGGGGTATTTGCGATGCTTGCATATATAGAGCGAAGCAAACAGTTATGCATATCTAGATTTTCGAGATGGCTTTCTTCAATTCGAGAGTAATACGAATATAGGCTACGGAACGCTTCTAAAACGTTGGTGTCAATCGATTCACATTGTTATCATGTTGATATTACTCAAAGTTGACTTTCGGAGGTGTTGAAAATATTACTTTGCATGATAACGGTTTAGTTATTCACACTGTAGTCATTAACCATACACTGCTAGGAAGAATTCAAGTATCAAAATTTTGGACAGAAAATTGTGTACGACATTTCCTCATACGCTTCTTACCGTCAACTTTTATGCCGAATGAACGCATGGCAAATTTTTCTGCCGGTTCGCGGAGCGCTGATGTTGCTGCTTATGGTGATGGGGAATTGTATGCAACCTCTCCTGTAGATTGGACGGCCACAGCGGGCGTTTTATGGCTATGGAACGATATCGATCGTTGGAGAAGGAGGGAGAGGTGAAGATC